TCAAGATGATGGGAGAAGGAAAATTGAAGGACATCATTGACACTAAACTGAAGATGGATGTAGAGGACGAGAGGTTTGCCACAGCAATCAAAGTCGCTTTGTGGTGTATACAGGATGATATGTACCTCAGGCCGCCAATGGCAAAAGTAGTGCAAATGCTTGAGGGGGTCTATCCTGTCCTCCCACCACCAACTGCGTCTCAACTTGGTTCTCGAATGTTCTCGAATTTGTTCAAATCAAATAGTGAGGAGGGCACTTCATCGGGACCGTCGGACTGTAATAGTGATGCTTATCTTTCGGCAGTTCGCCTTTCAGGTCCTAGATAGATGATGAGTCATTGACATGTACAAGGTTTTCATATTTTTGTCGGTTTTCTTGTATACTTGTTGATTAGTAGTTCAAAACTTTGCAATACAAGTCACAGTGAGAGCCCAATATTCCAATGTTGCAAAATATAAGAGTCGAGATGAGAACCATGTTCCCTCCATCTCCGGTTACGCGACTAAGTTGGGAATCTAGAGCAGGGCATTTCATAATCTACTTTTGTGTACAAATAAGATGAAAACAAGAGAACAATGACAAAATTGGATAAGAATAACCAAAGGACGAAAAATAAAAATATTTAGCTCATTTGAGTTCAGTATAAATAATAATAATTGTTGACCTCTAAAAATGGCTCTTCCAGGTGGCCAACTTGTAGCTACTCCACGTATTCCTCCCTACGAAATGAACAAACTGTCAGGCGCACACGGCCGGAACCAACGGTGGTGGCGGCCGTATATACTCCGACGGTCAAGTCAGGTTTGGGTGGTCGGAACAGTGTCCAGGGACTACACAATCAATCAGTCAATAAAGGGGGAGGAGAATATATAAACTTGTTATGGAGTGCTATCTATTGAGAGTTTCTTACCTTTGCCTCTGGCCAATCTTTGGGTATTTATAGGTGGTATGAACCGTGGGATGTGGAACACGTGTATACATCTGACGGTATGAAGCGTCTGCTCATAGGCGTCAATCAGCCGCGCTTGTAGAGTGGGCGGACAGTTTGTTTCCCCCGAGTTGAATTGACATAAAGTTGATAAGTCACATCAAATAGCTTTATGGGGGACGTCACATCAATTTAAACCTTATATGCAGAGCAAATCTTAAATTGGCAGCGAATCTTCTAACGGGGTCGGAGACGGGACACTTCGGCAGATCAGTGACAGGAATTGGTGTATCACTTCGGAGAGGCTTCGGGAGGTCGGAGTGGTTCCGAGGCTCGTAAAATGAGGCGTAACAGTGGTCCCCCAAATCTGAGAATGAATATTTATATTATACGTGGATTTGTTTTCCTGACCGGATCGCGGCATGGGGGTAGCTGAAACTTTGTAGAGCATGGGAAGATCGCGGCATGATGATACGCTCGCGTCGGGTACGTTAAAGCGTTATAGAAATTTTAGGGACTCGTCTTCGTCGAAGCGTTGTCAGGAAGAGGGAGACGGCTCAAGCTTTGCAAAGCGTGGGAGGGGCGCAGCGACCGAGGCGATAGCAAATGGGGCGCTTGCATCGGGTGCGTCCAGGCTTTGTTAAGTTGGGGGACTCGTTTCTCGCCGAAGCGTTGGCGGAAAAGAGGGTCGACGCGTGGGGAGATGGCTAGAACTTTGTAAAGCAATGGTGGGAACGCAACGCCCGAGGTGATTAGCGACTGGGGCCTTCGCATCGGTTGCGGCTAAGCTTTGTAAAGTTGGGGGTAGAGATCATCCGAGGCGACCCAGAAGTCCAATGATTTGACAACTGTTGCGTGTTTCCAAGGTGACAGTTGGGTACCACGCCCATTCCCCTAGAAGGCTGCCGCGGCCAGTAATTATTATTGACGGCTGTTGGTAACCGAGGCGACGCGTTTCAATTTAGCGTGAAAGCCACAGCGACATCTTGGGCGTAGATCAAATCTGGCGTTTCATTTCAACGGCTGGGATCGAGAATACAACGGACGGTTTAGATTGATCGTATTTGAATTCAAAGGTGGAGATTGGATTTGTCTTTCCTATAAAAGGTGAACTTTGGGGGCTTACCAGAGTTTCTACCTTTACCACGAAAAAACAAAATTTT